CTCATCTAGGGGGTTTGGGGGCATGCACCACCAGGAAGATTTTTTTAAATGTTGAAGTCAAAAGCATCAATCTGGTGCACTTTGAGAGCAACATGAAGAGATCTATGGATACATCTCAACACCCATATGAAACAGAACTGTAAGCAGATTTGTTTCTTTATGGATATTTTACAAATCACTCCCCTTTTAAACTGTATTCTTGTTTATTAATAACAACTTTTTTTTACAGTCATATTAGTATTGTATACCTGTTTACTTTATTCTCTTATTTTTAAAGATGTGCCTTCACCTCACTGGTTGGAGAAAAAGCTTCTTATATTCGTTAGCATAGCTAGCTAACCAGATGCTAATAACAACAACGTTATTGACTGTATGATCAGTATGACAGATGAACAGATCGCCACTGGGCTTTCAACTAAAGACACAGCCACGCAAAAACTGCGGCATGTGTACAGCTCCTTATGGGTATTGCAATTTGTGAAGTCCCGGCCCGGAGCCGCGTTCTGGTGCTCTCCGTTAGAACTCCACTCCAGTCAGACGAGACATATACCACGTGATGACACGTTAGGCTCGTGTTGTGTTCAAGGACCCTGACCTTGGCCAGGGAAAAACAAGCTTGTTTAATTATTTTGCGGTCCAGATTTCAAGATTTTTTTTTCTTTTTTGCGTGTGTTTATAAATTACCCCGAGGGCCGTACCAAATGGTCTCGCGGGCCGTATACGGCCCGGAGGCCGGAGGTTCCCCACCCCTGGTTTACAGATAGCAACAGTCAGCTTGTTGGCTGCAGCTGCTCTGGCTGAGGGCTCCTTTCTACCGCCCGGACGAGAGAGGGTAATGATACTGTACACGCTGCGGCCAGGCAGGAAACATGTGACTTATCAGTAACTTTAGACATCGTAAAACAATTTTAAACGACATTTTATTGTAGATTATACATTTTACTGATACCAACTATATAATATTTACCTTGTTCTTTAAAAATAAAAATAAAAATAAGAAATATATATTTTTTGGAAATATATTTTTTAATTTATTTTTAATTTTTAATGACAATCAAACATGTGGGAAGAGGGGGGGCGGCGCCCCTAGCGTCCCTATGGGCCGGCCGCCACTGCTTCCCAGCTTTCCTAAAGTCCAACCCATGTCCCCTCTTCCTCTTCTGTAGTTTGAGAGCCTGAGTCGTGTTGCAGAGTGTCTCTTCTCCCTGTTGAACGGCGACGACATGTTCACCACCTTCGCCCAGCTGAAGGACAAGAACTCTCTGGTGTGGCTCTTCAGCCGAGCGTACCTCTACTCCTTCATCTCCCTGTTCATCTACATGGTGCTGTCGCTCTTCATTGCCCTCATCACCGACTCCTACGAGACCATCAAGGTGCTTTGGTTTTGGTGAAAAATGTGGCACTCATTTTCAACACAAATTCAACATTGAATCTCTTTAGAACTCCTGAATTGCCCCACGGGGATTAATAAAGATCCATGTTATCTTATCTTAACTCCAAAGGGTGTTCAGTAACAGGAAAGTTGTAAGAAATATTTATATTATCATAATGTAGTCTGTAAAAAAACAAAACAATATGCACTTATAGCTGGACACTTTAATTTAAGATTCATAGTTTTAAAAAAAATGTATTCAAAGAAAAATGTCTGAAATCTCCCATGTAACAATTGTGTACAAAATGTTTCTTTACTAACATTTCTTTTTTTATCTTCTTAATGATCCATTCTTTAAATAGTCTTGATTTACTTAAATGCAGTTTGAAAAAAAATCTGCTTCTATGCAATTTTGAATGCATTGTGTATTCACTATTTGCATTTCTTTGTGTTTTCACCCACAGAGCTTTCAAAAGAACGGGTTCCCATTGACGGACCTGCAGAAGTTCCTCAGAGAGCAGAAAGATGTTCCTGTTTCAGAGGAGAGCAGTCCGACAGACGTTCATGTCCAAAATTCAGCCTTCTGCTGCTGCCGAAGGTATGATACTGTTTGAACTCATCAGTAAGCTGTCCCAGTATTTACTCTTCATTCACACACTCTGCTGCACACCTGTATTCACATCTGGAAGCTAAACTGTGCAAACATGATGTCACATCACTAACACATGAGCTATTTTGTTTTGTTTTAAAAGACTTGCTCAAGGTGTCTTTTTCCTCTTGTGTTGTTATATATTAGAAGATTACTTGGGGTTTAATCTGACAACCTGCTCTGTAAATTCTCCCTTAAGGATGATCAATTATTATAACTTTTATTTCTTTGATCTGTTTTTAAAAGTGTTTCCCTATTGTTATTACCCACTGCTGGAAACATTTCAAATCTGTCCAATTCATTATTGGATATTGATGTGAAAGATGTACTGCTGCAAATAATCATTATTTTTCGATCATTAAAAACTGACAATCATATTTTCCAGTCCAATGTCATGTCCAAAACCCAAAGACATTCAGTCAAATAAACTGGGAAAAAAAAGAGAGAAACAACAGATCCTCTTGGTTTGGGAAGCTGCATCTATTGTTTGTCATTAGTCAATATTCATTATCAACAGAGTTTGATTCCTTTCAATTAACTAATTATATAATCCACTGATGTGTTTCTATTTCAGTAAGTCACTCTAAACAAATGTGGAGGCATTACACACATGGAAACATTTCTGATTGGTTTGCTTTGCTAACAACTTTTTGCTACAGCAAGGCATCGTACTTGTCTATACGTCCTCGTTTTCTGCTCATTCCTTTTCTATGATCCAATCTCTATCATCAGCAGACTGGAGTTTCCTCCACGCTGTGGTTTGGCTCGGGCTGACGTGGTCTGAGAGCAATGAAATTAGTGGTGGGAGCTATGCAGACACACCCAGTGATGGGCTGATTACAGAGAAACTGAGGCTGTGCACTGGGAAGAACCCCCCTCACCCCCCTCCCTCTCACCCCCTCTGTCCTTGCTGGTTTGCCTCCCACATAAACAGGCCATGGTCAACACTCAGTTGAGACTCAACCAATCGAAGCAGAGTAGTTTTGTTAAAGAACTGTGGTTAGTTGAGAGTGATGGGATTAGACCGTGATGCTCGAGTTGTCTTTAGATTTGCAATATAGTATTTTGTGATGGCTCTGGTGTGCGTGTCTGTGTGGTTTTAATTTGAAGAAAGATGTGAAAGCGCATTCGTCATCACTTCTTATTCTCGTTTTGTAATCAGAGCACGTTTCTTAAAAGTATTTCCTAACATGTCTGGATATTGAGTTGCATCGCTCACACTTTATTTCTCCATGTCCATTTCGAAGCTGTGGCATTAAATGTACACGCAACGTGACGCTTGTTGAATAGTCTTCGCTTCCTCTTTAACCTGTCTGTTGCTACAAGGATTAAAAGTGAAAAAGCTCAAACGGCACGTCATCAGACTGCGGTGTCTTGGTTGGACTTTGGTTCTGCATTTTTATTTTTATTTTTCGTAAAATAAATGTTATAGCTTTTTAACACAATATTTCATTTCCCTGTTTCGGTATCAGGGAAAGGCTTAAATGTATCAGACATCTATCATTCTTCTTTTACATCTCTTCTCCATTATTCTCTATTTCTTAACTTATGGTAAAGCTACTGTAATGATTTGTAAAGCATCCTGATTGTTAAGCTACTATTTTCTTTCTGCAAATCAGAGCCACAAATGTTTGAAAAATGTTAAATTATGTAATGAGCGGAAAAGAACTGAGAAATAGTACACTTTTTCTTTGCCTTTTCTTACAGTCTGTTATGTCACTTTCAGTGCTCTTCCATCATTATTGTTTCGTTAGACAATCTATCCAGCATGCTTTCCGGCAGTGTTTAAGGAAGTTAAGTCTCAGTTACAAGGCCATTAAAATTGTGCAAGTAATGCAAGACGGACAATTGAACATGTATCTTGTCTGTGGAGATAAAGCAGCCAGTGGCCTTTTTAGAGGTAGCTGACTTAAAGGAACATTAAGGGCTAATCTTGTCAAGTTACACAGATTCTGTAAGTGCAGTCATTTGCAGTCTCTAAACTGACCAAATGTCATTATTATTTGCATCTTTGTCTCTCAGTGCTTACCAAAATTAGATCAGCGTTCTCAGCTAACATGTTAATGTCTTACTGGATGAAATTTCATCTACACGTACTTAGCCTCTTCCTTCTGTTATCTTCATCTACAACAAGTGATCTTGTTAGGAAAGCAAGTTGAGGAGCAAGAGTCCCCCTTTTAGTTTGATTAAAAACTTTTTTTATTTGGGATATACATATATATAAAGCAAGCTAATCAGTGAAATAATATATTGAGGCTCAAGACTCTTGTGAATGAAATCTAAAGTTATATCCTTGTCATCATAACAAACACTGAAATGGCTAGTCAGATCTGCACACAAATATTCTCCTGATCTATGTCCTGAATGCATCTGCTTGAGTTTATCTTTGTGTGTTACACGGCATGTTACAGCAAAGAGTAGATATTATGTGTGACGAAGGTAGTGCAATGATGTGAATGGAAGAATAGAGTAGCAAAGAGTCAGCTTCGCTTTCCAAGGGTAGGATTAAACATTTATCTGTGAAATACATTCACATCTGCATCAGTTTGTGATATACTGAGTTTGAGACTTGGTCTGCTAACTAAGCAGTAAAATGTGCTGCTTATGGCAGATTTATAAAGATGAAGGCAAAAACATGTCTAATCGTTTGCAGATTTGATAAAGAAGAGACATGTTTACTGCCTTGAAAGCAAAAACACAAGATGGTGTTTTGAACTAATGCTGAAAAGACTGTCGTTTTCAAGTGACAAGTGCGTGTTTTGGGGGACTTATTCTCAGAATGGGTACAATCACCAAAGACCATCAAGATCATTTGTACTTGTAGTTGCTCCTATTGACCAAAACTGTAGAACTATGAGGTTTTTCTAAGAATTTACCCTTTTTAGTTAAGACTAGATCCTAAGTTATTCACACAGCATCTTAGACCTAGAGGTAAACACCTCCTGTCTTTTAAACTCTCTCTTCCGACGTTTCTCTGTGTTGCTCTCAGGATTAACCTTAACTGAGATTAGTTAAGACTAGGTCGAGAGTAGTCCCAGTTTATTTTTTGAGTATGGCCCCAGAAATCCAGACCTTATCCTGCATCTTTTTGTTGTGTCTCAGTGAGTCAGGGGCAAACCTGTATAAAGGTGGAAGCCCAGAGAATAAAGAGCAGTTGTTGTGCTGGTATGAATCATAGGAGTAACCTGTGATAATCTGTATTCGGGCTATCACAACAACACCTTAATAATGTAGCAACGGTTATTTTCACCAGTCCGAACAAGCAGATGTGAGTCTGAATTTAATTTCCTCCTGACGTTTATTTGTGATGTAACACTTAAATATTTAATGTCAATGTCCCAATAGTGTAACTCTTAAACAAACAAAACAACTGTTCTTAGATATTTGATGAAATGAAGCACTCGTATTACCAAAAATGACCATGTACTTTGGTGTTGATTAGACATTTGAAGTCTCATTTTTCTTTTGGTATGTTGTATTTGCAGAGTTCCTGCAGGTGATGATGTCGTGCTGATCAGCTGACAGCTGTCCAACCTCCCAGAGGACACGGATCACGCAGGAGGAGGATGCTGGGAACAGGACGTCTAAAACGGACTTACACATCAACAATCCCATTGCAAAATCCTTGAAGATTGTAGAGTTACTGATTCTGTGAAGTGCAATATCAAACGCCTAACGAGTTCCATCTCTTTAAAATGAAACTGGAGCTGGAGTATCAGAGCTGGAACTTGTAACAATAAGGTTTCATAACAGTATCTGTTGAAGTTCAGGATGCTGTTGAGAAGTTTACTGGACGTTTTGTAGGTCTGTTAATACATTTAGTACTGGATTCAGTGTTTTCTGAACTAAACTGTGGCTGCATCTCTGGAGCTAAGCAACGAGATGCATTGATGTTTGTAATTTATTTGTCATGTGTTGGAGTAAATATTGCAGTAAAGCTTCTCTTTTCATTTGTCCATTGGTAGATTATGAATGCAGTCTTTGCTGCTGGTTTGCACATTCAGCTTCTTTAAAAAAAAATGTATAATATGAGCAAAGACAGGACATCAAATGTAATTGAATTACTTACATGGTCAATATAATATAAGAAGTTATGGGAACTTGTTATAAAATATTAACAACATTACAGTTCAACAAATGCATTCCATGCTTAGAAATGTATTAGGTTCTTTAAATATTTCTTTAACTTGCATTCACAGCTGAGATTGAGTTAGACGGGGTGTTTTAAATGACTAAACCAGGACTACAGTATGAGTCGGTTTTATAAGCAAATCTATGAGCTAGTTTAGATGTCAAGACAAGCTCCAGCATGACTTAATCTCACTTTGAGTGTGAGTAATGTGTGTTTTACTTGATGAAATCAAAGGTAATTCTCTAAACTTCTACAAAGTGATCAATCAAATTCAAGGAAATGCCTCCAACAAAGACCTCTGTCGCCAACCGGGGTGCTTCTTGATTTCAACTAAAACATCCCTTGATTAATTTTAGCCTGGATGTGCCAAAATGATGTGTGTGATCTAGAGGTGGTTATACAACACATACAGTCCCACCTCATAGAGTATTTTTCCTGTGAGACAATAATGCCCTTAAGTCATATTTGATTAATCTAGCAAAGACAAGGCCAGGATATTCACTCTTAAGGATTTCCTTTCAACAGATCTGGCTGTTTGATTTGGGTCAACAACCACACGGTTGCTTTTCAACACATGTGTAGAGTACAAATGTCAACATGCGTGTGTGCTTTGTTAAACAAAACAGGCAGATTTGTGGAAAATAGGAGTGAGCGCTGCTTTAAAGAGAGCAATGATTTTGGATTTACATATGAACAGATGTGCAGGTCTAAACACCATACAAGCAATTTAAAGGGCAATCTAGCTATTTTGTAATTTCAAACTTTATGTTTATCAGAAAGGTTCAGTATGTTTGTGAATTGAACTAAATATTTTTCAGTTATCGGAATAATTACGAATGTTCTTTATAACATCATAAAAATCTGATGTAAGTAAGACTATATCCACTAAGAGGTATTATCAGCAATATGTACTGAAAGTAAAATAACTTACAGATAAAAAAAGCTCCTGTGTGACTGACATTATATATATTATATTAATAGAAATACAAAGCAGGCCTATGATGTTTCTGTTGTGATGGAGCTAATTGGGTGAAGCCTACTTTACATAGAGTGGTCGGCCCTTTCACTGGTCCTCCGTTTGATGGAGAAGGGTGATGATTAGTGGCATACAAATAATGGGGAAAAACAACATTTTTCTCGAAGCATAACGTTTTTGTCAAATATTGCTACAACAATATATTTGTTTTGGTTATAGGCTATAGCCAACCAAACCATAATCTACTTTGATTTAAAGGCCCAAGCCCAACAAATGGGTAGGCCTATCAATTGTTTTATCAATGTGTTAGTGTAGGGTTAGTTTGATCTTGTTATGTAAAGCTTTCAAGTAGCCCAATGTTTCTAGTAAAACGTAGTTTGTTCCCTAAAAAATGTAGTGTAGCCTACTTAGATAGCATAAAATGGGGAACAAATTATAATTCATGATTAAAGCACAGACTGGGATCAAACACGTACCTCTCCAAGTGAGCTTAACAGTATAGGGTTCAATAAATAGCGTAGGAAAAATGTAGTATATTTTAAAGTGTATTACATTTGAGAAAAGAAGGAAGGCATACGAACAAGCCAGAATTTGGTAACACTTCACTGCAGCAACCAGCAGTGTTGGTCGGACGGTGAGCTCGCGGGGCTGTGTGCGGTCACCTGGGGGAATTCGCATGTCAGCCCGGGGACACGCCCTCTCGTCACAGAGCTGCAGCCTGGTGAGTGAAGACGCTCGGCTCCACTTCGCTCCTTCACTTCGTCCTCTCGCTGCCTGCTGTCACCTCCCTCCGTCCTCATCTGCAGACAGGCGCACTGCTGTGGGGGAAACATGTTCAGTCACTTGGCACGGAATATTTCGCAACTTGTAGTCTACTGACTCTCAACGGACAGCCCTTCAGCTCAGGTAAACTCACCTGGTTCAGACTTCCAGGTAACTCTTTGTTCTTCTACTATGGGCAAAATGATTTGTTTCGTCTGTTTTATTGTATGTTTTCTGCAAGAGCTTGTTTCTCTTTTCTATTACTTCCTGAGGGAATTTCTTACCCCCCCCCTTCTTCGCTGTTGTTGGTACACCAAGTTGGACAGGTATCAGTAAAGTTAATTGCATAATACAGGCTTCTCAGGTAAGGGAGGAAACTGTACTTTAGCCTGTGTTGCGTTGGATTATTGTTTTGTTCCATGTCTGTAGTGTTAAATAAATGTTTGAACAGGTAGAACATGCAGATGTCTGACATTTGTTACTCAGGTCACTTCAATGAGCCTGTTTTGTCTTTTTATTGTAACTATGGTCACTATCTTGTTCAACTTCATGGAGCTTACTTTATATCATTTTTATTCAAAGCAGCTTCTCGCAGTAATAAGCTTTTAGCATGTGCACTTGCCTTAGGAATTGAGTCAATAAATCTCTTTTGGCCTTGGGAGAAATGGCACTGATCTCGCAAATAAAGCATTACACTTTGTATCTCTGATATCAGATTTAAATGGACAAAACTGGTTTTGAAATGCATACAAGGAATTTTATAGATCCAGTTTTTCAGATATTCTCAAATTTAGGGCAGCTTTTTTATGTTCGTTTAACAATTATGAATAGTTTGGTCTGTAAAATGTTGGAAAACAGTCAACTTTATAACTTTTTTTAATTCTAATTTCAAGGAAACAAGGCTGATTCCCAAAGCTAATCTTAGCACTATCATATAAGACAACAAAAATGTTCTAAAAGTCTTATGTTTTCTCCCTGTCTTGCAGACTGACCTCTAAAATGGCCCAGCAGAATCAAACCTGTCATTATAATGAGTCTATGAGCTTCTTCTATAACAACAGTGGTGCCTCAGACACTTGGGACAAAACGCAGCTCATCCTAGTGAGAGTGGTGGGCTCTATCTTCTGCTGCTTCATCCTGGTCTCCAACTCCATGGTCGTAGCTGCTGTCATCACCAATAAGAGGTTCCACTACCCTTTCTACTATCTTCTATCCAACCTTGCCGCCTCGGACTTCCTGGCCGGCATAGCGTACGTGTACCTGATGTTTAACACAGGGGAGTTGTCAAGGACACTCACAGTTAAGGAGTACTTCATCCGCCAAGGTCTTCTGGACGTCAGTCTCTCCGCATCGCTGTCTAACCTGCTGGTGATAGCTCTGGAGCGCTACATCTCCGTCATGAACTGGAAAGTCCACAGCAACCTGACGAAGAGGAGGGTGACCCTGCTGATCGTACTGGTGTGGGCCATTTCCATCTTTATGGGCGCTGTGCCGAGTCTAGGCTGGAACTGCATCTGCAACATCAACGACTGCTCCCGTCTGGCTCCCGTCTTCAGCAGGAGCTACCTGATCTTCTGGTCTGTGTCTAACCTGGTGGTGTTCCTGGTGATGGTGGTCATCTACACCAGGATTTACACCTACGTCAAGAGGAAGACTGCAATGCTCACGCCGCACACCAGCGGCTCCATCAACCGCAAGAGGACTCCCATCAAGCTCATCAAGACGGTCATGGTTGTGTTGGGTAGGTGCTCATCATAAAAATGTTGTCTGTGCACCATCTTTAATGCAGTGAGTCAGAACATTTCCCACATTAATCAGGTTGTTTTGCTGTACAGCTGTGTGTCACTTGTTGCGTCACAAAGTCCAGACGGTCTCTGTTGAACCCGCTCCACTGTTATCTATGTTTTTTAAAACCTTGAGCATACTAAAGTAAACACTTTCAGTAATCATGTTGAGAGCTTGTCAGTGACTTGAGGGAGCCGTATATGAAAGCAAATGAGTCATAATGTTTATTTTATTTTTTCTTGATCTTAGGTTATTTGCTACTTCATAGAGTTTTTAGGGCTTAAAACCATAACTCATTATTTGTTGTTGACTTATTTGCTTAATAGACCAATCATTCAGTCTTTAAAATATGAAAATATAGTAGATGTCCCTGGCACATCCTATACAATACCGAGGTATCTGTAATCCACTTTAAAGACCAACGTTCTGTACAGAGAAAGAACAAAAAGTGCTTGGAAAGTCCAACTAATATTCAATAACCAAAGATATTCCCTTTTTTAAAGTATGTAAAACAGGGAAAAAAAGCAATTCCTCACTTTTGAGAAGCTGAAACACGAGAATGTTTGGCATTTGTGTGTCATGAATTCCTTGTTGCAGCACTACTATGTCATTTCCCAGATGAAGAAGGCTTAAAAATGCTGCTTCCCCCTCTTATCATGCATTTTCACCCTAGATGAGGGAGCTAGATATGCTGGTCAGACTCTCTTTGTGTAGGTGTTGCAACAGGACACCTTAAGTGTACTCAAATCCTTCCCCTTAGCACTTTCCTTTCATAACAGAACAATACAATATATTTGTCTTAAGCGTCACAATAAGCTGTTAAATGCATATTCTCATGCAAGTATAACACACAGTGTACACATTTGAAACAGATATATTTCAGAAAGCACAGCAGGTCAGAGTAGTTGTCTTTTCCTACAAACATGCATGAGATAGTTGTAGGGGTTTTGCACAGTCTCCCTGTAGAATAAAAGTCTGTTTATTCTTCTTTGTGTCTTTGGGGCACTCGGCTTGTTGCCTGTCCAGATAGTTTGATACAGTTTGTAGCATACGAGCTGTCTGCCTCTGTACACTCTTTATTCCAGGCTGCTATGTAATTATCTCTCCCTGCAACCATCCACACCACACTGGCCTTCAATGAAACATCCCCTCCTCCACACCCTTCTGAAAAAAAAGCAAGAAGAAGAACCTATACTTGAGGACTTCTCCAATTGCTTTCAGATGCTTTGCAGATTTTCCTTAAGCTTGTGGAGGTGTAACCACACAAGTGTCATTGTTAAAATCCCCGTTGAGGTTGCTTTGACTTCACGGTTAAATGGAGAAAAAAAAAGCCCTCTTGAAATGGGCGGTGCAGATAACACACCAGGGATATCTGAGGGAGAAAATAATGAAACCTTAAGACCTCTGACGTATTCAGTACGGTCTGGGTCCCTGGGGTTTATTATTCAGGGACAAAAACATAACTTTTGTTCCAGATAAGCAGTTTGCTCAAGTGGAACTGGAAACTGGACAAACCAGTTTGGAAACGCTTAACCCACACATTATGGCAAGAGTAAAATGATTGAGTTAATAATTACTTATTCGTTTTCTTATTTACATTTGAACTTTACTCTTCATTGTGTTAGTTTGGGGGAAAAAATTATCCTTGTAATTGAATAACCTACAGTCATTTATTTCTGGTATATTTGGGACTGTTGTGGCTTGCTTGTTAAGTGAAGCATCAAACAACTCATGCAGATTTTGTTTTCATTCTTTAAGTGCAACCACCATCACGAAATGAGTACCAACAGAGAAAAGGAACACATGCTTGAAATGTATGTTTCTAAAACCCCGCTGTTTTTTCCCCTCTGTTGTAGATTAAAAGAAAAGACAGTGCGCTTTTAAACTTCAGTAGAGCAACAACTGCCAATGAAAGACCATTAAGTTGGGTCTCACCCAATTTAATTTCAGTTCACTTTATTTTGGACATGTGGGCCATCAAAGACAAAGAAAAGAGGAAGAAAAACGAGTTTAAGAATAGAAATTCACTGTAAAAGTGTGGCCAATTTTTTACTTTCAGGACTAAGTGCAGTGGAAAAACATAAAAGCACTTCTGCCCAAGCCTTTCAGTCTGTGTGCATGTTTGGGAGACAAAGCGGGTGCTGTATAGAGCACCTCTTGTTTTGTTCTGCAGATGTGTTGAAGCGGTAGAGATGTGGGTAGTGCAGACAAGTTGCTACTTGTAGGTTGGTTTCACTTCCCAAACACTTTTGGTAGATCTGTTTTGTGCCCAAACATGTTTGAAATTTGAGTTCTAATTGGCTGCTTCAGTACCCATGTGACCTAACATGTTGTCTGTGTTACCAAACACACAGCACTAAGTATTAAAATAGTAAGGGCATTGTACTGCCAACCTGCCTCTGCTTGTTGTTATGGTATTAGGATGGCTCTTCTCTGCTAAAATGTGAAGTACCTGAATAACTGTATGCATTAGCTTTTTAACGCCCGTCCTGTTGACCAGCTCACAAAATTGTGAAAAGAATTGTGTTACTTTAACGGAACTAAAGTTGAAGCAATTACTGGTTGCTTATTAGATTATGACTCATCAATGTTATTAGCAACCACTTACACAGGAGATGTTTTTTTTTTAAATAATTGAAACATGCCAAAATGGTCAGGTTCCAGGTTTTCTAATGTGGTTATTTGCTGCATTAGAAATGTAATATCATCAGGTTTTGGAGGTTATCGTAGCTTAGGCAAACAAAACCTTTACAGATAAATCCATTATAAGAATAATTATTGATAGCAGCCTTAATTCAAATTTACCCCAAAGTAAGGCATATTATCTCCACCATCATAACTGTGTTTCCTGTTTTACGCTTCCAGTTGAATGTTCACTGCTGACACAAGAGTGCAGTGAACATGGACTTCTCGTAAAGGGATTTTAAGCGGTTACTCAGGATTGTATGTTTAATTAAGTAATTGTCAATGTCTGTATAAGGATCTGTAAATATCTCTAATTAGTTCACATAAGAAGGATACAAGAGAGAAATAAGTGCTACAAATACCTAACTGTGTGTACATTTTTGTATTTTTCTCTTTGAAGGGGCCTTTGTGATCTGCTGGACTCCCGGCCTGGTGGTTCTGCTGCTGGACGGACTCAACTGTACGAGTTGTAACGTCATGAAAACAAAACGCTGGCTGCTATTGCTGGCTGTACTCAACTCTGTCATGAACCCTTGCATCTACTCCTACAAGGACGAGGAAATGTGGACAACCTTCAAGAACCTCATGCGCTGCATTGGCAACGGCACGCGGCGGCAGCGGTCGACGAAGGCCAACGCCAGGGCTCTCAGCTCGGGTCAGGATACGGGCAACAGTCAGCCTCCATCGGAGGAGACAAAAACTGACGAACAGGGCATTCTCAAGACCTGAAAATGGAGCTTGACATGAATTAACCAGGACTTCTGTTTAGTCAAACGACTGGACGCACTGTATGAAGATTCAGATTGGAGTTGACTTGAAACCATAACAGTTGGCCTCAGACGGCCGGTGTTGTCCTCAGATAAAAATGACTTTCTTGAAGTGACACTGCAGGCCCACTGCTCCAGTGTAGATCTTAAGAGACGGAGATAAAAAGAGGCTTCCATGCACTATGAATTCCTGAAATGGATGCAAAGATGTGCTTTTCAATTTTTTTCTTCTGGATTTTACAGTTTTTGGACATATACCTCCAATTCATGTGCTTTGGGAGATTCTTGTAGCTTTGAACTGCTCTGCAATGGCTGAAGAAAGTAAAAAGTACACAGTGATACATTTCTACTTTTACCTTTTTAAAAAGGGTAAACATGCAAAGGGTAACTTAGCTCTCACATTTGTATATCTGATGAATTAAAGTTTCAACCTGTCACCTTTCAAAAAGCTGTAATAGAGGATCTAGTTGAGACATGTTTGTAGACAGGTACTATACAACTTTAGGGTGGCTTAGGAAGTGCACCATTTTATATTTTATTACTGAAAACACAGCCTGCGTATATATACTGTATACTGCCGTACCATATGTATCTACTTGTACATCTTTTTAAATACTTTCAACAAGAGGTGCAGTTATTCCAACTGAACGACAGCCAGCATGATTAGCATGGTCTGATTATTTTGTCCTTTGAAATGTAAAGTCTAGAAAAGCACACCCTGTTTTCTGTTGGAAAGCTGGTTTGGCTGTTGGCATTAGATAACAAAGTGACTATTTTCTTGTGCCAGCCTTCATTATCAGTTCACCTTAACAAACAGATAAACTCTTGCCTAAAGCACATCATGAAGGCAAACTTGTTCTCCCCGTAGAATTTTAACACATCAGCTTCAACTAACCGCTGCTCACCTGTAGCGCAGGATTGTAAAATGATGTTGCAACACACTGGATTCCTGCTGGCGTTTAAGCAATAACCTGCAGGAACCAAACAGGATATGACTGAATGGACCACACTCACACAAACCTCCCTCTCTACAGACTGCGCTGACGCCTCTATTGCTGACAGGGTTCAAATGGCTTCTTCAACCTGCTGTACAGGCCTATGCCCCTCCTGTGGTAGCATCATGATATATATCATTAAGGAGTGTAGGAATACAACATGTGAGTGGTGATTGGAAAAACAGCTCCAATGGTGGTGTTTCTTTATCGGAACAACATTTTAGATGGCCGTTCCTTTGCATACAAAAATACAATTTTCTTTTTAAGTAACCTCTTTTTGAGCTCATATAATTTTTTCCAACATACCAATGGACATGACATGTCATGATATGATACATGATATGATACGGAAACAGCAAGCAGCACAGAGGCTGATGTCACCAAAGGGATTCAAACTTTATTATGTTAAAGGGGTATCATTTTCACTAGTATTTATGAACCTTTTAATATGAACATCCGTCAAATTACCGAAAGTGGTTCCAATTATATTTTTTATAAAAATGATTTACAATCTTATAGAGAATGTGAATGTGGCTGTGTATTTTCAAATTCTAGCGCACTCGAGCTGGTTTCTCCAAAATTACCTACCCCACATTTAATTAATGCATTTTCTGGCATTATCTTCAATTTTGCCCACGCTAGCAGCAATTTTAGGCAGCTTGATTTTGAAATGCTAAAGCCAAGGTAGCATTACTTTTTAAACTGTTAACAATCGGGTATCTATCGGGTATCGGCTGTTGCAGGATTTATTAATTCACATACAATTATAGGATGGCCAACCCATCTGCCCTGCCCGACTTGAGCATTCATTGCTCATCACCAGTATTCCTCAAGCTGCTTACTTAATAGCTGTGATGTACTCCTAGTCCTAACAATAGCCATGTTAGTTGTTTATGTTTGTAGTGAATATTTAAGAGGCTTTTGAGTAACTTCAACTGAATGGGACTGGTATGCTCGGTATTTGGCCAACATTGCAACTTCTTTTCTAGATTCAACGCGTTTTGGAGTTGGTGCTGCTAGCTATTTTCATTCACTGAAAATGCTAACGTTGCCATCTGAGCATGTTAGCATGCTACACTGGCTGCAGCATAAATGTTGCTAACACCACCTACCTGGCACCAACGTTAGCAAAACAAAAATGAGATTGCTTGTAAATCCTATTTGACTGAGGCAGACTGCCTTTTTAACTATATTAAATTCCCCACCGCAAAACTGAAGGCGGTTGTTGCATCTAGCCACTTAACTGTAAACTACATTTTATCTGACACATAAAAGCTTCAAAATGCACGAGTGTGGTGCTTACCAACATATTTTATGTTGTGGAACACTAGGTTAAAATATCTTAAACCTGTGTTAACCAAAGACCTTATCTCAGACATCTAACCAAAAACCCATTGACTAAAAGACAAGGGAACCGGAAGTGAAAAGAATGCTGACTCATTTCTGGGTTATAGCACTCATCCCTGCAGCAATCTATGGTTGATGAAGTACCGTTACTTGAGATTTCTCAAGAGCTGCCACTTAAGGAGGATTTACTCCATTCAGGCCAATTAGTGGTTGGCTTTCGTTTCCAGTCTCTTACATTATTGTCGAAAGAACTGGAAAAAAATGTGATTGACTCAAAGGAACAAGATAACTCCTCTCAATTAGACTGCAAAACACTTGCAGTAAAAATAACCACTTGCTTATATATTTGTATCCTAATATAGTAAAGCTTTCTATGATTGACAGTAAAATGACACTGTTTGAATAATCTGTAAATGTCAACATTTAGAACTTTGTGAAATGCATTTTAACATGAAAACATAGTAAGTTATAAACTGCATATTATGTGCTTCAAGATGTAAACCACATATTGATTTCAAAGAGTGATGTTTAATATGACATGTCAAATCTCCCCTCACTGTAGTCATTATGAAAGTATATTGTTCATAGGCTTTTAATCGTTTTAACCTCAAACCCACAGCCTTTTTTTCTCTGCTCGTATACCAGGTTACCTGGTTTAACAAGATTTCTCATCGCATGTTAAAACTCTTTTTATGCTCAGGATTAATCCGTGTATAGAACATATAACATTTTACAGTAAAGTACTCAGGATGTCAAAGGTTTCAGGTTGAGCTATGATGTGATTAAGAGTAAGTAATTTCCATTCAAAACAATGCTGTATTATAGAGAGTACTGTATTTCCTCTGGAGACCTGATGTGACTGCTTCGTGCTTCTCTGGTTCTGCATTCCCAAAAAACATGAACTCTAAACTTGTGTGGTGTGGCAGGCCTTTTTTTCTTCTTCTTTTTTTTTTTACAGCTGTGCTGTAATTATGCATTCTTGAAGAGCCAATTAAATTTCACAGATGTTCAGAAATGCTGTCTTTTGGTTTGGTCTTAATCTTAGGGCAAACAGATGTAGGCATAAAAGTAAAACGTTTAACCAGTACACAGAGGGTGTGCTTTTATATAAATAAACCCTGTGCCATAAAAGAGCAAGACTCATAGAGGCCTATAGTTCTAAGTTAAATCATGTATCATTTACAGAATTTGGTTTCTCCTACAAAGTTCCCAGCTCAGTTTCAACTGAACACAATGATACATACAATAGTATACCTGAAGAATGGCTGCAAGGAGTTTGACACGTCTCAGACTGTCACAAGCAAGAGCTTCTTCTCTATGAGTCGCTTTCGAGTGCACAGTGATACCATGGAAAGAATACTTGAAACTGCTCACAGTCTTTGAAACAGACATTGGTGTTGAGTTTTGTCAAAAAATCTTTGCGGTATTAAGTGCCATCTCTTTCCATTATATTGTAGAGAAGGCAGACATCCATATACACGATATTTCTAACTTAGTAGCAAACACTTAAACAGTCTAGATTTAGAAATAGCAAAACAGGAAAACATCATTAGAGTTGAACTGTCCCTTTAATGGCCAACAATCATGTCTACCAGGGTTGAATGTTCTAGTTAACAGTCAAGCTAATACAAAAAAAACACTTTCACTTGGTAAATAACACTAATTTGAAACAAGATAGATGTGTTACAACGTCAAACAACACCCTGGTGGTGAGTTCGGGTGCAGCAGTGAACTCTGAACGATTCTGACCTGTTGGATGGTGAAGGTGAGCTGAAGCACCTTCTGAAAAGGACATGATCAAACTGTGATTGGAGAGCCTCCTCTGCTGATTGGACAATTAGGGACAAGGCAGAGGGTGGGACTCGGGGAAAAAAGGGTACATAAGCTGATACTTATAATGACGCTAGACACACACACACACACACACACACACACACACACACACACACACACACACACACACACACACACACACACACACACACACACACACACACACACACACCCCAAGCACCCAAGCACCCAGTTGGTCATTCATTCGGTCAGTCAGTTCAGAGTGGGTCAAGCCACAACAGCAAACGTTCTCATGGCTCTACGGACAGCCACATCCTTTTACCTGTGTTTCCTGCTGGTAAGTTCTCACATAGTAGAGGTTTACTAATTAATACACTACAACAGATTCAATTGCAGAGAAGAAAATGTGGACATATTGCCACAGATGTTTAAGGGTTAACTGTTAATGGACAGCACAATGATGTGAAATGAGGGCAGGAGTGATAAAAAAATGTGTATTTACACAGAGAAAGGAATATAAACTACGGTGTAAACCAAGTGTGCGATTTTCCCATTTTCATTTATAGCTGAGTTTCCCCCCTTGCTTTTGTTGTGTTGTCAGAAACACTTGTTGCTGCAAGCATGTGGTCATGGGTTTGTGGCGTTTCTGTGTATTGCTTGGTTACACGTCAGCTTCTTGTGGGACTGATTTTCTTGATTATAAATCATACTGTAATCTCGAAAAAAGGAAATACTGTTATTTTACTAGGCTGTATTCACCATAGTTATTTTTCTAGTGAAGTGAATGTCAGCTGCTGTTCAATTTGTACTCTTTTATCACTTTGGCTAACAGTTCACATGCTTTAATGAGTTGAGTTGTGTATCTAATTTGTTTACATGCTGATAAAATACTTTACACACATTAGGCTTTTGAAATGTGTTTACATACCCCACAAATGCTTTTAAATAAAAAAGCCTCCTGTCTTTGTCTGCAGGGAATAAATTGCTGGCATGATTTGGACAACACAGAGTACGATTGTTGGCCGCTCAACGGTCCAAATGATTACAACATGATTAGCTGTGGTGGTACGTTTTTAATGATTTAATTTGTCTGTTTGTTTGAGTTTTTCATTGCATTTGATTTGTAGTACAGTAGTTGATTTTATGTGAGTATTTATTGCACAATTAGATGTTGGTTATGTTCTTAAACGGCCATGTCTATACGCATTTTATTATAATCTGCTTATAGCACTGTATTATTATTATTGTTGTAAACATTCAAAAATCTTCATAATGTTTTATAACAGTTCCACAAAGTTATAATATAACACAATGTAAAGCATTTAATAGGATTTTTAAGGTCAAGAATCAGAATTGCTGACATTCACAGACATTTTAGATTTCATGATATGTTGTTAACAAGCACACTATAATACAGTGATAATGATGCATAATATGAAATATTATAATGTTTTATAACTATGGTATTTATATTGCACTATGGTCCCTGAAAAAAAAAAAACGTGTTAGTCTGCAACAATCATAAAATAATATGATTCTTGACCTTATAATTCATAATAAAATGCTTCCTAATATGTTATGACTTATTATAAAGTTTTCTACAGGATAAGTATACAGTGCTATTAGCAGATTTTAACATATGCATTTATAAGTGTTCTTACAATGCATATGGGCATGGTTATTATATAAATTACTAAACAGATAGCTTTTCCTGCAGTGGCTAAAAATAATGGAGACAGTAACATTTACTGCATTTACAGAATTGATTACAGTGACTATAGTAGGTAGGGCTCAAGAGAATTATCTGCAAACACAGCACACAGTATGTACTCTGTTTGAATGTGTACGTGCAGGTGACGAGCATGTGTGTTGTCACAGGTCTGGAAATGGCCTGGGTGCAGCGTCCTCCAGAGAAAATATCCAACGGGGAAGAGTTCAATGTCTCGTACACGGTGACGGCCCCAGATTCTTTCTACGAGTACGCAGTCAGGAACAAGATTTTCCAGTTCAGGTGAGTACGCTACATAAACACCTGGCATCCTAAACTGCTGCCATACCCAGAATACACACACACACACACACACACACACACACGCACGCACGCACACACACACACACACACACACACACACACACACACACACACACACACACACACACACACACACACACACACACACACCCACACACACACACAAAGGAGCATACATCAGATAAAACACTTAATGATCTCCCTATTCCTCAGTGTTGAGCATCTGTAATTAAACTATCTTCATTAAAGCGCCCCTCATCTTCATGTTTTAGCTCTAAGAAACGCATGGGGAGCTGCAGATTTTTGTTTGCGCTCCCATTGTATAAAGCAACCCCGGGGATTTGTGTTAATTAATCTTTTTGTTTACCTACCCATGTTGTCTTCTAGCAATGCGTCAGAGGCTAAGAGGTTCTGTCATGAACACGAGTGCCCGGCAAACTGGAACAACGCCAATGACATGAACTGCTGCGTTTATCACGCCAACATTCACTCCTGTCCTCTTGGTCTTATGGTAGGTACATAGAAGGTGAACAAAAGGTTTTACCAGGACAGACATTTTTTTGGCAGGGGATAAAACATGATTTTTTTCTGGATCAATATTTATGTGATGCTCTTTTTGTCCACAAGAGGCTGAAGTGCATCACTACCTCACTGCTGTTTGCTATCTACACACAAGCTACATTTATTTTGTGTTAAAACGTCAGATCAATTATTAAATTAAAACTTTTTTGGAAGAAAACATGAAAGCTTTTGGTACTTTTCGGCACATGTGCACTCGACCCTCTTGTGTCAAAAATGACAAACGACATGCACTCAAAGAATAATTTCCTAAAACTTTCTTTCGCACCTGTTTTCAGTTTATAAAAACAAAAGAGAAAACAATTGAGAATAGATTTTGTATTTCTTACTTGCCTCTCAGGGCCTCCGTAGGGCTGTTGTTATCCATATTAAATATACATGTATTCCTTAAAAGTCTGTTGTATTGCAAAATGTCTAAAGTTAAAGATTATCGGATTATTTTTATGCTTTTAACAATTTCATTTTCAAACCTTTGAAACTTTAATTATCAATTTTCCTTTAAGTAACCACAGTTACCAAAGTGCATTACAATATCTCGAACATAACCTCATTCGAAAAATGAAAATCTAAATTCAAATTTGGCTATACCATTACACTGAAGGGAATTGTCACAGAATTGTTGTGCCTTTTATTTACACTCTTTCTAAACGTTTATTTTAAGATTTGATATTTTCATAAACTTAGTCCCTTAAAATACAAAATATGACTTTAGTTAGAATTCTGGAATATAGTTTTAAGCTCAACAGAGCAAATTTATAAAATAATTGTTTTTCAATTTTATTAAAAGTTTCTTCTAAAAGTTATTCTAGTGATCTCTGTGGGTTAACACAAAGCTGAACCCTTCTAACATTTATCCAAAGATCAGCACCTACTTACACAACAATTAAGTGTCTAAAGGGCATGTTTTGAACCTCCTGAATCTGAAACTCTGTCATCTCTTCGCAGAAAGAAGGAGGCATCTGTGGCCCGTGGATTCCTGACGATGGTAAAATCGTGACTCACACTGTCTCCCAAGCAGGCAAAATGTCCCAGAAATACTGGAATTCAAAGGTAAGCTAACACAAAACAAAACTCTTCAAAACAATGGGTAAAGTCTTAACATGTTTGTAGTATTTATTTCAACCCTGTATCCCTGCAAATACTTAATTCTAGTTTATTTATACACAAAGACACACATGTCCCAAGAAATCCTAAGTTTGTCAAAAGGCAGAAGTTCAACTTTAACTGTTCTGTTAGTACGGGAATTAAAATTGTACTTTCCAAAACATGAAAGACATACTTTTGATCAAAGTGACGCCTGATCTGTGAAGCCTGACCTCTGTTATGCCGGTTTGTCATGATGCAACCCGGCACCAGGATGTAAGTACTTGTCTGCTAGACAACTTTGCGATGCGACCTGTCAAATTACTGTAAAAGTAAAGAAAACCAATTAAAAAAAGGCATTGAATGTTTAATACAATTTTGTTGTTGTGGTAACAATTTGACAGCAGATTTTATACAATGCTAAAAAGACGTATAAGGACAAATAATTATTTTAATGATTGACCCATGCATATACAGCGCTTATTGGTTCCAGATCGTTTGGATCAGACAGCTTTATAAAATAAAGTATGATGGTTAGCTGTTGGTTTGTTTTCTTTGTATTTGGTTTAAACTATAATAACCATAAATGGCCTGATGAGTACACAGAACTGTTTGTCATGCATTGTATTTAATTAACTAAAGGACGGCCAAACATAATTTTGTTGTTTCAGTTACTAATAAAACAATAATGTGATTTATATTATTGACTGAGAGTAACTAATATAATTACAGTATGACATAATTCTTCCACAGTATCATTTCTTTTATGGTGTTTTTCCAAAAAGGTGGTGTTGATTCACGTGGGAGTCACCTCAGTCATTGCTCATGTCAAAATTGGAGAGATGCACGCAGCGCTGGAGTCCAAAGTGCTTGTTGTCAGTGCTCAAGGTCAGTTTCTATTTGCGGATATCTTGATTCCTACAGTATGTTCTAAATAATGCCTGGGCTGTGGCCTTGATATGTATAACTCAATGCTACGTGCTTCTCAAAGTATTGTCCGCGAGGGCCCCCTAGTGGTCCGTGAGTATATTGGTAACATTTCTTATTGGAAATAAATAAATACATTTAAGTTTTCCGCACTCTCGTGGGAATATCTCCGCAATGGAGCAAGGTTAAGTTTCACTTTCGATTGCATGACATAGCCCAGTGCAACACCTCCATCAAACATTTTGCCACTTGTTTGTACCATTTTCAGGCGATTTGTAATCTGTTCTAGAAAAAAGATGTGTTTTTTTACATTTGTGGAGTTAGGTGGTCCGCGAGTGTTTTTTTATTGGTTAAGTGGTCCTTGGTATGAAAAAGTTTGAGAAACACTGTATTTGCAGTGTTGATAATTGAGCACTGCAGACTTAATTACATAAGTTATCTTTTTAACCAGACAAAGGCAGTAACAGCACACTCTCATGAACTTGTGCAGAAACATTGAGGTAGCCTAAATGTCAACTCGCGTGGGACGTTGCTGTAAAAAAAACTACTATGAGATGTTTTAAAAGAGAATTCAAACTACCCAGCAGAGGTGGGGACTCGAGTCGCATGACTTGACTCGAGTCGCATATTTTTTGACTTGAGTCTTGCTTGACTAACATTGATAAAAGACTTGACTTGACTTTGACTTGGTATTCATGACTTGAGACTTGACTTAAACTTGAGATAGATGACTTGAAAGTACTTGACTGTTTAAAATAAAAATATTTGCGTTTGTTTTTGTAGAGAGATATTACGTTTCGTTTTTTCGAAAAACGTGATTATAGCACCATGCGCGCAAACCTGGCAACCCACTAGAAGGCAGGAGTCTCAGTTAACATGGCAGCGGCTAGCTTTACTCCAAAAATAGTGAAGTTTGGATTCAAGGATTATTTTGTCGATGACGCTAATAAGAAGAGAACAGCGGTATGCAGGGTCTGTAGCATAAAGATCAGTGACAAGACCGCCACAACATCCAACTTCATTCGTCACTACAAAAAAAACCACAGAGAAAGATGCGTGCATGTGTTGTGTTAGCTAGAAAGCTAACGTTAAGTTTAAGCTACGTTAGACTTGGTTTAAAATCGATTAAGCATTGCAAAGAGAAGACAAAACGGGGTAAATGAACACTAGAACCGCCAAGGGATTCATTTTGACTAACCCTGATACTGACGGGCTGTCAGCAGAGGGAGAGAGAGAGAGAGGAAAAGAGATGCCTCGTTTATTTCCCGTGTGTTATTATCAGAAGTTACTGTAAACTTTTGAATAATGTATTTCATCTACTTTTAGTAGTTTGTTTAAATGTTTTAATGATGTTGTTTTTGTTTGTAGAAGTGCATCATTCCTTGATTTATTGTAAAATAAATCTGAACTTTTTTGATGTGTTATGATGATAAACTGAAGCAATTTCTAAATTAACCCAATTAAGTGAGTTTTAAATTGTCCTGCTTAGTTTATAAGGAAATTATGAAGAGGAACAAATGAAATGATTTGAAAATGATATCTATTTGGTGCTGATGCTGTTGGCTGTTCTAGTGTTAACAGAAATTTATATTAAATATGTGTAATGGCAAATGCCATATATGATTTTCTTACCTGGAATTCTGCCTTTTTGAACAGACTTTTTGAGTCCTAGCTATATTGTCTGCAGTTCTAGGTTAATATGAATCTAATATGATTGTCATCGGTTTAAATTAGATTTCAAATGATTAACTGTGTATGTAATGAAGATCATAGTGTGTGTTGAATCCATTTTCATAACCACTATCTTTTAACTGATTTAAATGCGGAAACTGGGCTTATTCATCAGAATTTCGTATGACTTGACTTGACTTGCTTGACCTGAGCAATGACTTGACTTGACTTGATTTGCTTGACTCTCACCACAGTGACTTGGGATTTGCTTGATACTTGTAGGTCAAGACTTGAGACTTGCTCATGACTTGCCCATGTAGGACTTACTCCCACCTCTGCTACCCAGCATAATATAAATAAGTTACATTGATTTCTATTTTTACCAGCTGCAACATTTGGAAGTACAAATTAATTAATCAATATTTACAAACCAATAATATAATCTAAAGTATTCTGTTGTGATTCTGTATAATGAGTAGATTTGTGCTTTCAAAACATTTTGACTTTTGTACTTGCAAGATTTTTGCTACTTTTGCTAGTAAAGTAAACAATCAATTTGTTCTTCTGCCATTCAATTGAGTAAATGGAAACCTCACATATAAAATTCATGTTTCAGTGTGCGGGGACGATGTCTGCGAGGTGGAGGAGAACTGTCTGAACTGTCCTGCAGACTGTGGCATCTGCCCCATGTCCATCGCCATCAAGGTGGCCATTGGGCTGCCTGTTGCTCTCTTCAGCAGCGGCTTCATCCTAACCATGGTGGTCAGTCTCACACACACACACACACACACACACACACACACACACACACACACACACACACACACACACACACACACACACACACACAGCTGATGTTTGTTTTAATCTCTACCTTGCAGTGGATCCAGTATCAGAAGCAGAGGATGCTTTGGGATGAAAGCTGGATCATCAGTTACAAGAGCATAATATTTGGTAACTTGTCTCATGCTGAATCTGTTTCGGTTTACTCATACAGAAAGCTTTAGATGTTCACTTTCTTTTAGGACTTACTGTAAATGTATCTATATGGATAACTTTTGTTTGACTTTAAAGCAACAAGAATATCATGTATATACTGTATGTATGTGTTGCTATTGTCTGTTTCCATGTGTCCATGTCACCATTCTCTTGCACTTTATTTTTTATTGCACTATTTAGTATTTATTTTATGCCTCATGTGTATTGTGTGTTGAACTTTTGGAGGAGCCTGGGACTTATAAGAGTTTTATTTTCATAAACTACATTGTATTCATTGTGCATATGACAATGACAACAATCTCAAAATGCAGTAATTCAAGTAAGAGTGGGTCAGACTTAGAAGTTATTTACCCACCAATAAAAGCATATTTCATCATTATGCTCCTTTGCTGCTTTTATATTTAAACTGTAAATGAACAGTAAACTGACCCTGAGTTTATACCTGCCTCCTGTGTGCAGGTCGCATGGGGCTCCTGGGCCTTGGCAGCACCATGAGTCTGCAGCGCATCAGGAGCAACTCCACCATCAGTCAAACTACAGAGGTGACCGTGTGCACCGGAGTCAACACCTCCTTCAGACAAGACTTCATCCAGCCAGGCCTCTAGTGAGAAATATAATTTATTTATGAGTCTATCTATATAAATTACCAGAAATATTAATCCAAAAATAATAATAATTTAAAAAAAGAAGATAAATTCTATTAATTTTAGATGCTTTTTAACTCTTTGGATCACTTAAAAATGGTTGCATTTCAGTTCAAGCTTAACATTTAATAGCTAGTTTAAAATGTATAACACTATATCTATCCCCAATGGGGAAATTCTATAATACAGTTGCACAGAGACAAAGTTAGAGGTTGTAAAACAGATAATTAATTTGTTTAAATGGGAGAGAAAAAGTGGCAAGTAGTGCAATAGTGATATGTAAATCAGTAAAAATAATGAGTACAATATACATAGAAAGTACATGAATCTCTAGTATCTGAAGTGTCCGTTTACTTCCCTGAATCGACTGAAATGAATTACAGGTCTAAGGAAGGTAGATACTAATCGGTCCTTGAAATAATGCATCCTTTACTTCATAATTTGAACTGTCTTGCAGTGATGGGAGGACAGTGGCAGTGAAGCACATCCAAAATAAACATTTTACGCTCTGTAAAACCATCAGGAAGGAGGTGAAAGAAGTGAGGTGAGGGAAACACTGCAGCAGAGAAGAACACAAATATTCCCTTACAGACATGAGGAAGCCTCCCCATACCCCGCAGCTAATGATTATTTCATATTGGCTAGGCTGCTGGACCACCCGAATCTATGCAAGTTCATTGGTGGTTCTATCGAAGTTCCCTACGTCAGCATCATCACAGAGTACTGCCCCAAAGGAAGTCTGTCCGATGTCCTGCTGAATGAAGACATCCCCATCAACTGGGGCTTCAGGTGAGAAAAGAAGCACTGTTCTCATTCATAACACTCCGTTCGATGTCTCACTATGGGATGCGCCTCATTGCGGAGCAAACAGAAGCATCAATCTCATTACGCCATTCCTGATTGGCTGGTGATCTTGACGTCAGCGTCAGGGAATCCACTCACCCTATAAGTATGAGAACTGGGGTACGTAAGTAACCTATAGATTTCCACTTAATTTTCATTAAAAAACAAAAAAACACATTAACCATGTTCAAATTTCAATCCCTGAAGTATTAGTTGTGGGATGAACACACTACATTCAATTGACAGCTTCTGTTGAAAGAAATTAACAAAGAGCGAATGAAATAGGATGATTTCTTATAAATGAACGGAACCATCAACAACTATTTTTATAACCATTCAGCATTTTTAATGAAAAAAACATTTCATGATTCCAGCTTTTCGAAAAGAGTTGCAGCTTGTCATTTGAATTGAAAGAAACATATTTCAAATATTTTGTATACTTGTAGTATTTCAGATGTTGCCCTTATTCCTTATTAAATTAGGAATAACTTCCTTGCAGACTAAAATTCCCTATCCCATAATACAATGCAAGCTACTTGACATACAACAGCAGTTGTATACTGTGTTCTTGTGTTGTGGGATTGGCCTCACTCACTGTTATTTATTATATGCCCTGAAATGTAACATTGATTGAAAAGACATGTGAAAAACACAAGAACAGCAACTTCTAAGAGTTTTCCCCCATGTAGGCTGTCATTTGCCACTGATATCGCCCGCGGGATGTCTTACCTCCACCAGCACAAGATGTTTCATGGGAGACTTCATTCCAGAAACTGTGTAATTGACGACCGCTGGGTGTGCAAAATCTCAGGTGACAAAATCCCTCAGCGTCAAAGCATTTTGTTATACTGTGTTATCAGTGACCACAAATCTGTAATAAGCCACTTGATGCAGTTTAATGAACACTAGGAAACAAAAAGAAATCTCCTTTTAAAGAAATAAGCAATTTTGTTATTCTGGAAAAGTGAAAGAAAACCTCCTACCTCACCATATTTTTCTGTGTTTGTCCTCAGATTACGGGCTCACAGTCTTCAGACGGGAGGACTTTGAGGCCACCAGTAATGGCTTTAATTGTGGGAATGTAAATCATTTATACTGTGCCCCAGAGGTCGTGCTGGGAAGCAGCTCCAACATGACGGTAGCAGCCGATGTCTACAGGTATGTTCAAGGTTCACCGTTTAAGCAGTTAAAGGTGGGGTAGGTAAGTTTGAGAAACCGGCTCGAGATACACTTTTTGCTATATTGGCGCTGTAAAAAGCACGACCAATCATCTGAGCCAAAGTAACTGGATGGCCTACCTGCCTGTCAGCCTTCCATCTGGGCACAAACTTATCTCGTGCCCTCATTGGTCATGTGCGTGTTTGTGTGTGTTGGAGGAGGGGCTCTGTAAGGAAGTGGCAGATTTGTTCCGGCTGTGTATTTTCAAATTCCAGGGCACTCGAGCTGGTTTCTCCAAAATTACCTACCCCACCTTTAATTGTTTTGCACAAGAACATTTCAGTTAAATCAAAGATGGTCAATAGTAGACAGGATTTTTCATGTCTATTAAAAGTGTTGAATGCTGAATCTTAACCACATTTGAAAATTAGATGAAAGCAATCTCTACTTTTTCCTCCTCTCCTCAGCTACTCAATTATTCTGGTTGAGATTGCAACTCGCTCTGACCTCATTTCAGTGAGTATGACAGCCCTCTTTGTAGATTACAACCTTCACTTCCTTTTGATCTTTTGTAACCAGCAGTCCTCTCCACAGCACAAGGCTGAGGGAGTGAGCGTGGATATCGCATGGCGCCCCCCTCTGCCTGAAGTCAAAGCAGGGAAAGCAGATACTGACTGTCCCAGTCAAGAAGACTACTGTGAGGTCTGACATACGTGCAGATTTTGAAACTATGTATGGAGAGAATGTGGCTAGTTACACTCTTGTTAGTGTGAATTGAATTGGCTCACACAAAAACTAGGAAGTGTTATATTATGTTATTATGTGTCGAAACCATGACTGTTTAAACATTTAAGGCAATGGGTGTTGATATATTCTCTGGAACACTTGAACAGCTTATCAAGAAGTGCTGGAATCATAATGTCACCACGAGGCCCACGTTTGAGCAAGTGAAGAAGAATCTTGACAAAATGAACCCACACAAAGTCAGCCCTGTGGACATGATGATGAACCTGGTAATACCCACTGGCATATGGTACAATAATGCACAACAAATAGGCATAAAGCCACATATAATTCATTAAATAACCATAAATAGCACAAATATAATGTGATATAACTTGGATTCATTCTCCAAAACAGCAGTTACTTTTTGCCGTGTATGGTTTTGAGTTTCAGACACAGAGTTTGTTTAACTGCAGATGGAGAAGTACAGCAAACATCTGGAGGCTATAGTTGCTGAGAGAACACAGGACCTTCTTCAAGAGAAACAGAAGACGGACAGGCTGTTATACAGTGAGTCAGGATAACGGTGTGGAGTGAAAGAGTTACATTGCGCTAATAATTATTACCTAGAAAACTCATGCTAGATAAAGCTATTCAGGATTTGTCTTGGGGACATTGCAGAGCTAAAACTGCCATATATAGCACACAAAAGGCTGGATTTTTGGGTGATAAACATTACATTTTGACAATATGAGTATGCTGTTGTGCATCATATAAAAGGTCACCAAGAATTACACATTCAAATGTGTTCGCTGCCATCTAGTGGTGCAGAAGAAGCAACTCCATTATTCCTATCCATATCCCCAAAGAATATATTGGAGACATCATTTTTTTAAGCAATGAAATAAATTGCTAACCCTTGTAGGTATGTTACCAAAACCAGTGGCTGATGACCTTCGTCAGGGTCGAACGTCAGAGGCTCAGAGCTACTCCAACGCTACCGTCTACTTCAGGTTTGTGTTCTTAACACCGACTTACATTTATTAATGGCCATTTGTTTGATTGTAAAGTGTCTGGAGTATAACTTGTTTTATTACCAGGGATACATTTAGATAGATTTTCTCCCTCTTTGAATGTTACATGCAAGTGTTTTGAAATGTAAAACTAGAACTGACTAACACTGTATTTCTCCCTGTTACAGTGACATTGTGGGCTTCACTCAGCTGTCTGGTGCCAGCACTCCCCACCAAGTCGTGGACTTCCTCAACCAGCTCTACACCAGCTTTGATGACATTATTGACAATTACGACGTCTACAAAGTGGAGACAATAGGCGATGCATGTAAGGAAGATAAACAGATTTAGAACTGCTAACAAAAAGTGATACATCTTTTTAAAGCACCACTATTGAAATAGAAGATAAAGATAAATGTGTTGAGATGGAGAGTCACAACTAAAATTGATTATTTAAAAGCAAAAACCAAGTTACTGTGTCACTGTCAAATGTGTGTTTTGATATATTTCTTTAATGCATCTCACTCTAACTCTTCCTGTTTTGTCTCTGACTCGTCTTCCAGACATGGTGGTCTCTGGGGTCCCTCAACAAAATGGCATCAATCATGCCGGAGAGATAGCCAGCATGGCTCTTGATCTGGTCAGTGTCTGCCACACTTTCAAGATCCCTCACAAACCCAACACACAGCTGCAGATACGCGCCGGCATCCACTCAGGTACTGATGAATTCTCACCTTTATCCACCTGCTTTTCCCAGAGTCTTTCAGTGCATATATTTACGTACACAGCGTGGGGATGTCATATTGTAATGCACCTTAATACATGGAGTAAAGGGCACCATCACAAAGCAATACTTAACAATAACAACAACTGTAATGCTTCAGCATTAAAACACCATAGACTGCAAATATAAAGACTCATCACCGAGGTCACAATATCAATCGATCCAGCAGAGCAATAGCCTGTAGGCAAAACACAGAAGATCAAAATCAAGATCACAAAAGATATGACATAAAATGAACCTACCAAAGCTGAAGAAGATGGTCAACTTCATTCATTTTCTTTCCGTTAATTACTGATTTGAATGGCTATACGCTGCTCTCTCTATAGTCTCCTCTTCACAACTACACTTTTCGCGGCAGACGTACTTACAGCCAATCAGCTCTGAATTATGAGATGACGTTTTGGTGGGGTTGCGAGCGCTTTGCCCCACTTGTAATTATTTTTTTGCAGCACACATTGAATACAAAAAGACTCTGAGTATGCACAGTGTAGTTTTCACAGTACCCATTCATTTCTACAGCGAGAGAGAGGGGCTAGATCGGGGCTTGCCACACATGCCTCAACACGGCTCAATAGGCACACTGTAGACACTAATTACAAGAACACAGACTAAAACAGCAATGTAGAGACGAATCAGACGACTAAACATGATCTTAAAATATATTTTAACATATTTCATACATATTTTTGGAATTATTATTTTAATTGTTTTCTGCTGACAGTAGGTGGGGCTGTGCCCCTAATGACGAGTCACCACTGATACTTCAATCATTTTTCTTGAATCGTTTTATGTTTAAAGTGTTAATAGGACACTTTAAGTTATCTTGGCTCTAGCTTTTAAACATGTTGTTTATGTTCACAATACATTTGTTTTAAGTAAAAGAGATAACAATGTAACTTTAACAATAAAGTAATATAAAATAAACATACTTGTTATTACCCTAAGACTAAGGGCCCCTGCATTGTCCTTATTCAGTTGTAGTGTTTAGACAATAGTATTCGACTAGAGTGTATTATATTCACTGCTGTTTAAATCTCCCAGGACCTGTTGTGGCCGGTGTGGTTGGCACCAAAATGCCTCGCTACTGCCTGTTTGGGGACACTGTCAACACTGCGTCCCGCATGGAATCAACAAGTGAAGGTATTTATTAGATACACCGACTTTGACCCAATGAATGTCTCAAAGTGGAACCATGTGTCACATGAACATCAAATCAATTTCAGTATTTTTTTCTTCATCATCTGAACATCAACATGACTTCTGTGTGCTGTTTCTTAGCTTGTCCAGCATTTATTCAAACGTGTCTCTGCAGTGTTGTTGTAACTGGCTTCAATGGCATTTCAGAAATAGCCTTTGGCTGCTGCTGCTCTCATGCCAAAGAGATTGTGTCTGTGTTTGCTCACCTGTACAGCAGAGAGGAGTTACAACATGGAAGTATTACAGTGTGCTAATCCTCCACTCTAGACTATTGGGTTAATGGAAATACACTAAACGACTGTATGCTCAAAAGTGAAGAAACAAACGCTTATAAAACCTTAAATACGGGATAAACTTTGACCTAAAAGGCTTCATTAGGAAATGTTTTAATGAGCTGAGGTTTGTGCACCGCTACATTACTTTTGCTTGCCCATTCTACAAATATGCTTTTAAGTCACCATGTGAAAAATAGATAATAATGTGTGTTGCAAAGTGTGCAAATTACATACTTGGTCTTTGCTGTTTGTCTAACATAATTACAGAAGGGCCTTAGAGATCTTATACTTCGTTGTTATTGAATCTATAATGTAAATGCCACTTAGAACAGAAATACATTTTTGTAAGTATGTCTTGAGGGAAACTTCTGAAGCAATTGGAGTCTGGAATCAGAGAGACACAAGGAGAGCTGGAGCTTTGATGGCAAACACTGACGGTTTATTTGGAGACATTTCACACGCCACGGTTTGACCACACGGTGGAGATGCCACATCAATTCTGAAGAACCCTTCTGTAGTTCAATGTTTTAACTAGTTCAGGGTGTAATAATCAACATTCTTCAATAGATAGACTAAACAGCTGAGGGACACTGAATCACATTTGTTATCGCTTATGGCTCGGGGTCATCTACACCCCGAGAAGGATGTTTTCCAGGTGTCCCATAACAATAACTATCTCTAACCGAGAGTTGCCCGGTCATAAACTGGTAACAACAATACAATGCTAGGGCAGCCCGTCCTTAAGGGAGATAACGGCTGCTCAAGGCTGGTTATCTGCGTCAGAGGGCGAAAGATGACATGCAAGGGAAATTATTCCCCAACAGTTAACTACAGATACAAGGCAAACTGAATTGTAGGACATCTGTATGGATGTGACAATATACCAGTATATATACCATATATACCAGTGGTTCTCAACTGGTCAGGCCTCGGGACCCACTTTTTACTTGGTCAATAAATCGTGACCCAACATTTTGAAGCACTCAAATCTATTCAACAATCGTGCTGTAATATACGCTTTTCAGCATACAATATTAATTAAAGTGAAGTACAGTGCATATATTTCTTCACAGAACTAAAGTATGCTTTTAAAAAAGGTTTATGAGATGATGTAATCAAAGCTGAACTTTATAAAAAGGCACACATGCTGAAAACCCAAGAATACTAACATAAACTACGCATTCTGGTACTCTGAGAAGAAAATAATCTATTACTCCCGACATATTAATAAATTTATGCCATTGTTTTGTGACCTGTCAATCATCAACCGGGGGTCATATTTCATTATTTGTTCATTTATATCTGAAGTTGTACCCATGGATGTATAGTTCTACCACAAAGTTATTCTCTGTGGGGACTTCCGGCAACAATCTTGATTCTGATTGGCCAGAAGACTCGAAAAAATATCAGCAAAGATGTTTTATTGAGAAGAATGCACAGCGTTAGAAAATTGGGCCTTCAAAATAAAAGTTTGAGTTTTTCCCCCCCAAAAAAATGACCCACTCGAAACGGGTCTTTGGGTCGCGACCCACCAGTTGAGAACCACTGCTATATACTATACTGTAAATATTACAAGATAAATCCATCACCATTTTTTTATTTGATTAAAGCGTATACTGGCTATTGATCATCTAGTGTAATACAAATCATTTTGATTTTTAAAACTAAAGCATGAAGCTTATAAACCGTGCAGGCTACATTACAAATAAGTAAGCAAACAGATAATAAAAAAGATACTCCTGCAACAATTAATATCAGGCATGCATTGTTCATATTATGCAATATAAAATGTTGAGTATTTCTCTATAATTATGTTTACAGCACTGAAGATCCAGGTGAGTGGTGCCACGGCCAACCTGCTTCACACACTCAGAGGTTACATTCTGACCTGCAGAGGAACATTTAATGTTAAGGTAAAGTTGTGTTGTTACTGTATGCATGTTTCCTTATATATGTTACTGAAGACAGGGTAATACAACATTTAATATCTATTTATCAATATTTAAACAAATGTGTACATTTCATTTGTATAGTGGCTTTTAAACCCTTTTATTTGTTTGTGTTATGCAGACAAGTATTTATATTATTTTGTGAAACAAAGTTTATGCCCTTTCATTCTTTGGTATATGCTGTAGAATCTATGAAAGACTAATAGATGCACGAGAAACATAATCAAGATGATAGCCTCCTATTAGGATATCTTTATTGAACAAGGACAATGCATACAAATACATTAATCTAAAAAAGAGAAGAAAAGTTATCTGCCAGATCATAGCTTAAAGCAAATATCCATCTGCAAATATTAAGACAAGGGATTTGTGAGTCTGAGAAAAAAGATCAAAGGAAAGTTCAAAACTTCCATCCAAGTGAAAATATACTGGGTGTGTGTTATTTTCTGTGCTTGTATTGAAGGTTTGTATGATCCATCTCCTACCCCAGCTGTAATTTAAGACCTTTCTCTGGGTAGTGCCAGTGTGATTATGGGGAGGGGTTTCTTCTCAGTCCCAGCGGACAGGGCGGCCCATGGAATGCTCTTAACATCCCGATAGCAATGAATATCTCAAGCGCTTTGACAAAAAAATCCATAAAAAAAATG